GACTTCAAGGACAAACAAAGAAGTTCTCAAGTGGTTAAGTTGACTGCCCAATTGTTAAAGCTTCATAGCACCATTGATGGCTCTCATTTGCACTTTTAAAACCATAAACAGTCTCATACTTCATATTTCTAACTTTACATACAAGAATGACACATGCACCAAAACACAATATACGGAAGTAGCAGATTGTAACATTAACATTGATAGGTTACATGAGATATTTTGTCCAAAGCATCTTTGAGTTATGCATATTTATATTCATAAGCCAACTCCATAAACTTTAAAGAGTGGAGGAGGGGGGCACTTGGCAAGCACCAAGCATGAGAAACCTACAAACAAAACAGAAAGGGAACTCATCAGAAGAAAAAACAATAATTCAGGCTGCTGACTGCCTGTCTTTTCCATCATCCCATGCAGGAAACTGCAAAATCCTGCTGCTTGCCTTATGAAACCAATCAACTCTCCATGAAGAATTATTTCTTTAAACATAAAAATGAAATCAATCCGGGTTACAATAAATGGCTGCTATTTAAGAAACCACATAATATAACCAAATATCCTTGACCTAATCTCACCAGGCAGCATGGTATCTTCATTGCTGCACTTACTAATTACAGCTGCCCAACACCAATAATGAAAACACACCTTTCAAATTCTTTTCCGGCAAAGATTTATACTGCACAAACCCTGGGTGAAACAGGACCACCCCCACTCTCACATTGATATTTGTTGTTTTAATGAGGTTATAAATGGCTTAAATTAAAAACAGCCTTATGATTTAGACTACATCATAGAAAGAAAATGACTATGCTTACTCTTTCATGGCATATCTGGAAGAATGAATTCAGCAAAGAATGGCATGTGCTTCCTTACAAAACCTGCAAATGCAAATTAGATATTTTAGGGAATTTCATAGTACTGCCATTAAGTGCCAGGCTGGTATAATAGGAATATAAAGTCACTATAAAAATACACTATATTGTAAAGTAAAAAGAGATAGGTCCAGATCCTCAGGAGCTATACAATGATGCAGCTCCATAGGCCAATACAGACCTGCTGAAGATCTGCTCCTATCATGGAGTTTTAAAATGTTAACATTGCGGAAATCACCCATTAACTCCTCTCCCCCTCAAAGGGTGCGTCTACACAGTGCCCTTAACTTGAAATAAGCTACGTAATTTGAGCTATGCAAATTGTGAGGCTTATTTCAAGTTAAATTCGAAATAGCTTATTTTGAAATTTGGCGCTCTCTACACAGCACCAAATTTCTAAATAGAGAGCTATTCTGAAACATCCCTTAATCCTAGTGGAAGGGGTTTTACAGGGACATTGGAATAGCGTGCCTGTTCTTTCAAAAGCTATTTTGAAATAACGGGCGCACTGCCAAAACGCTATTTTGGGAGACTGCAAGTATCCCGAAATAGCACCGCTGTCTAGATGCACCCCCAAAAAATTATAGTCTGATAGACAGGATGGTATTCAATAGGGATTTAGGGGTTGCGATGCTAACATCACAACACCTATTTTTTATGTGCCGAGAAAAATCTCAGAAACAACAATGCAATCAACAAGGCTAAGGTAGGTGTTGCACAGGGTAGCTTGCCCCATGGATGGGAGAACACAGGATCAACCCTGATTACTGGATGATCCCCAACTAAGAATCAGGGGATTCTTGTACATAAGGAGCTAGGTTTGATGCTGGGGAGAGCTTTCCCACTGGGAAAGAGCTGGAAGAGAGAGAAAGAGCAAACATGTGCACGAGCTAGCTCACTCGCTCTTGCAGCAGTACGGAAAAGGTCAGAGCACTAAAAAAAAACAGCTTAGAAGAAAAAAGTAAGTAAGTACATTTCTTCAAGCAGGGAGGCCTGAGAGAGGCCCCAACAGGCATAGAGGCTGGAATTGGGGGTGTTTGCTGTATCCCAAGGCTTGAAGTGGTTTCCATCACATTCAGGGTTTACAGTTTGGCTCACTGGCTCTCAGTACTTCTCCCCTCTCCCCACCCCCCACACAAATTGTTCCATAACCCCTGGCTATGGGTTAAAAGAGCTGTCCTAGCTGGGCAATACAGGGTGCTGGGTCAGAACTCTGAGTAGAGGGTGGGACTTGGGTTCCCTTATGGACCACAAGGAGGCGGTGCACACATCCTCTACAACAGTGTTGAGTCCCCCAAGGGGCAGCCGGCCGAACTGAGGAAGAGCCCTAGAAAGGGTGGAAGGACTTTTGTTTCCATTTAAAGGCAAGTTTTGACTCCTAGATTAGATGGAGAAGGAGGACTAAAAACCATGGCTCCAGTGGAAGGCTGAGTTATCAGGGAGAGAAACCACCAAAGCAATGGAGGGACTGTCAATGGGGGGCACTAGCTAGGTGCTGCTAGGCCACAAACACCCACAGCAGCTGCCTAGCTGTGTACCCATTCACAAGCACCCTTAGGTGAATAGGGAGCGAGAGGAGGTCCACACAAGCCAGCATGCTAGGTGGCTCCCTGCCTAAACTAGCTAATGGGAGATGCTGACTGTAGGAGCGTGAATGCCTCACTCCACATAGCCCAGGAGTAGGCCCATTGTCAGGGTGCCACCACCCACCTTAACTCTTAGCTCAGTGATTAGAGCAGTCAGGCTCCCTGAATCTCTCCTGTTGTCCTCTTGATACATGAGGGGTTGGAGCAGGTAAAACTGGAGCCACGGTCTCCCCCTCCCTGGTAGGTGATCCTAACTACTGGGCTACAGAGCCATTCCTCTTCCTTCCCTTGCCCACATTCACAGAACAGTCATTGAGCAGAGAGAAAGAGGGTGACCCACACCAGAATCTCCCACTGCTCTGGCAGAGTGGGGGAGGGGGGACGACTGACTCAAAGTCTCCTCCTCCCAGCTCTGGGCCAAATGCTGTAAGGTGGGCTCCTGTTCTGGAGGCTGGGCTCTGGGCATGCCTACCAGCTCAGGCAGTTGAATGTGTCTTCCCTCACGCTGTGGATTGCTCTGGGGCGTAGGCAGGAGACAGACCTCCAGAAACTTAGAGGGAGACAGCAATGGGGGTGGCCAGAGACAGAAATGCAAGTGCTCAGGGTGGTTTTACCCTGACAAGCTTAGGTGCTGAATGGGTTTAGGCACCTAGGGTATGTCTACACTAGCCCCCTAGCTCGAACTAGGGAGGCTAATGAGGGTGACTGAAATTGCAAATGCAGTGCGGGATTTAAATATCCCGCACTTCATTAGCATGTTCCCAGCTGGTCGCCATTTTGGAAATTGACTAGCCCAGAATAACTGCCCAAGTCTACACGCGGCAGTGAAACGGGAGTTTGAAGTAAAGCCCTGACTTGAATTAGCTGTTATTCCTCTTGGAATGAGGTTTACCAGCTAATTCGAATTAAGGGCTTTACTTCAAACTCCCATTTCACTGCCGCGTGTAGACGCGGGCAGTTATTCCGGGCTAGTCAATTTCCAAAATGGCGACTGCCCGGGAACATGCTAATGAAGCACGGGATATTTAAATCCCGTGCTTCATTTGCAATTTCAATCACCCTCATTAGCCTCCCTAGTTTGAACTAGGGGGATAGTGTAGATGTACCCCTACTGAGCTCAGTGGGGACCAAAACTGCGACTTAGGTGCCTAAATACCTTTGTGGATCCCACCTTTAGGTCTCAATGATGCAAATGCTTGTGCTAGTGAGTAACTCTATGGCCCTGAGTAGTCCTTTTTTTGTTCAATTGAATGACTAATGTGCTGTAAGTGTGTGCAGGACTGGAGCCTCTTGCTAGCTGTTAAACAGGCTGGGATATAACGTTGGCACACAACACAGTTGGAATATACTCTGGGGCTGGAAAGAATATTTAGAGTGAAGGGAGGACCTAATTCTCCCTGCCACTGCTGTAAATCAGGAGCCAGCAATGCCTTCACACCCCTGTAAAGCTGGAGTAAGTGAAAGAACCAGGCCCATAAACTGTAATTCAAATGCAAGCCAACTACCAATAAGCTGTATTAACCATTCAAAGGGGCAGAGGTCAGACTTTCAAAAGTGGCTAGTGCTTGGGGAGGGGAGAGAGAAACTGAGACTCCTCTAAAGGGCTCTGTTTTGCAGATGGCAGATGCTTGGCATTTTTTGAACTCCAGGTCCTTCTAAGGCATCTGAACTTGGACACCTCAAAAAACAAGCAACATCCCCAATTCTGTTTGGCAAAGCCGTTGATAGAAAATAACCCCCATGAAAAGAGGGGAGGGAGACATGGACAAAGAAATCAATCTAGAGGAAAGAGGACAGACATCTTCAATTTGAAGCTCACAAAGAAAGTTATAAAATACTGTGTTGATGGCATTTGATTCCAGTTAAGACATCAAGTTTTTGCTACTAGAGAGGCACTCTATTGATGGAGTTGTGGGGAACAAGTTGGATGTGGTGGTTGTGGCTGGGAATTAGACAATTTGGAGAGGAAATTAAATAGATTAATCTTATAACAAAATGCCTAGCTTCCCAGAGATTCCCTGTCCGGCTTACTTAATGCTCCAGTAAAGGGTCTAATTGTTAAACAGAACAAATTCACTTACTGTTAACAGTAAGACTTTATATTGCTTATTATTTGAAAAATGTAACTTCTGTCAAAATGGGGTATAGTATAATATGGACTGTTCGTATTATAATAGAAAAGCTTTACACCGCATACAGACACAAGAGAAGTGCCCCAAAGAGATAATTTGGTCATTCTTTTTACTGTACCCAGAGGAGGAGAGCTCTTCAACCAGCAAGCCAAAATCTTTAGCCAGGATCTTTGAGTATTAACTTGGTCCTAAATAAGTAAGGTGTGATGTGAGATTGTTAATGTTTTATTGTAACCTTGCCTTACTAAAAAGTTTAAAAAGCAATTGAGCTGTAATTTTGGCAGCGGCCTTATGAAAACCACGGTGTAGGGCTCAACTGTGCATTCCCTGCTAGAAGACAATGAGTGTTCTGAATATATGAAGAATGACAGATCAGACTTCTTCTAATGTCATCTTCTAAATGTCCACAGATTCTTTCTTCTGCCTCTGGCAGGAAGTCTGGGAATCCTGGCCTGAAAAGTGAGAGAGCTCCCAGCAACACGTGATTCAGGACACTATGCAGAAGCAGCCAGTACCAGGACTCTGAAGAAGTGGCCCTCCTACAATTAAGAAAGCCTTGTTTTCTGAGATGGAATTGTCTGTGTCCACTGGGTAGCAGAATGCAATGGTGTGGAAATTCACTTTAGAACACTTGACCTGTTGGGAGCCTTTACTAATGCTTCTGAAAGTAAGTTATTTAAAAGTGAATGAAAGAATCTGGGGGATTGGTGAATGGCAAATATTTATATAGCACCTCTCTTGTAAAGGTCTCAGAGTGCTCAGCAAATTTACAAACTTCCTGGCTGTGTCTAGACTGGCAAGTTTTTCCGCAAAATCACCTGATTTTGCGGAAAAACTTGCCTGCTGTCTACACTGGCCACTTGAATTTTCGGAAAAGCACTGACGATCTCCTGTAAAATCATCAGTGCTTTTCCGGAAATACTATGCTGCTCCCGTTCGGGCAAAAGTCTTTTTCCGAAAGACTTTTGCGCAAAAGGGCCAGTGTAGACAGCATAGTACTGTTTTCCGCAAAAAAGCCCTGATCACAAAAATGGCGATCGGGGCTTTTTTGCGGAAAACCGCGTCTAGATTGGCCACAGACGCTTTTCCGCAAAAAGTGCTTTTGCAGAAAAGCATCCTGCCAATCTAGACATGCTTTTCCGAAAATGCTTTTAACGGAAAACTTTTCCGTTAAAAACATTTTCGGAAAATCATGCCAGTGTAGACATAGCCCCTCTGTACACAAAGCTTGCTTCAGCCATCCTGTTATGGAGTAGATATGGCAGCCTTGAAACAGCGCACTGTAACATCTTTTACTTGTAACAACATGAAGAGTTTGTGGCTCCTTAAAGACTAAGGGTATGTCTACACTACAAAGTTAGTTTGAACTAACGGACGTTAGTTCGAACTAACTTTCATAGGCGCTACACTAGCGCTCCGTTAGTTCGAATTTAATTCGAACTAACGGAACGCTTAGTTCGAACTAGGTAAACCTCATTCCACGAGGATTAAGCCTAGTTCGAA